GTTGAATAATAAAGAATTTTCTCGTTTCTCTTGGTGTTTCTCTTGCGTTCTTCTCTGTATTTGTCAATTAGTTCCAGCCTGCAGAATAATCAATATTCTGCCTGGCGTCACTTACTCTTAAAATCAACTTGTAAGGTAAAATCATTATCCAAAGTGTATAAAATCCCAAGGCAAGATAATACAAAAAATAAAGAAGTTAAAATCTTGTCTGTTATATAGTATTTAAATTTAAAGATCACTATGTATTGGTTGTAGCACCCCAAATTTTATAAATAAACCGAAGTTACTGAAATGCAATTGATAACCAATTATCGCGAAAAAATATTGTGATAATAAAATTTTTTTCAAACAAAGTTAATTCAAGAATTCCTAACGTTTATCAATATATGAATCATATCATATGAATTTCGTAGAACCCCTACATCCGGAAGGATTTATATCAATTGACCAGAAAGTCTATCTCGAAAGATTTATATAAATCTACCCGAAGATCAAACCCGAAGGATTTACTTTAAATTAAATTCTATCTTATTTGATTTCAAAGAGTATTTTATACCAATCAAATAAACCTTTGGTGGCTTAGTGCGATTAGGATTTAATAATATAATTAATTGTCTAGCATCTAAACGAAAAGCACTTAAATAAATGAATATAAGGATTTATCTAAAAGCTAGATAAAATGATATTACTTTGGAATACATTAAATTGGACATAACTTATCCAAATCAACTTTTTCTCAAGTCATATATACGTTATTAAATGCGAGCTTCGGTTTGAGCTCAAAATTAATATGTAAATTTTCACATTCTCAGTATTTAATTATTAAATCTATACGAATAAAATTCATTTATTAAAATCTATTTGACTGAAAATAGGGATGAGTCGATGACAATTTGAATTAAAAAACTCGTGCCCTGCAGAACCCCACTTCGACAGGGCAGTGGACGGTTTTCGAGGGCGGCTGTCCAAGCCTAGCCTTCATGTTTTGCAGTTTATTTTCGACTTAGAAAGGAGTCCATTTCAATAATAGTTCTTTCCATTACCACCTCAGTTGGTTTGGGCTCTATTAAAATGAAATTTTAGGAGAAAATGTATTTTAAAATAATGATTTTTTTTTTTTTTAAATGTGTGATTAAAAAATAAAGAAAAAATTTAGATTTACGTGTAACATTATTTTATGAAAAAATATATGATTAAATGAAAAAAAATGGAGGTCAAAACTCGATATCATCATTATCATTTGGAATAATTTCATATTCCTAGTCAAAATTAAGTGTGTATGTATTAGTCTATATATACGTCTGCCTTAAGTAAGTTTGACAAATACAAATGTTCAAAAATTCAAACTTCAACGGGGTTAACAGTTGCTGCCAAGAATTTTCCTTAAAAAAAAAATTCCACAAATTTGGGCAGAATTCTGCACGAATCAATGGAAACACTGATGAGAGTCTAGCTATGAGAAAGAAATACAAAACCGTCTTCTTTATGCAAAACAACGAATAATTTTCTTTCTTAATCTTGTCGGTTACCTATGGTTAAAATGTCAAAGGATAGAAAAACATGGGACACATGTTCAAAGCCAACCTCTTCAATTAACTTGTCTTACTATACATCCAAAATTTTCAACTGGAAATGATGAAGAGCTTGCGACTAAGAAGTTAAATGAGAAAAATTCTCATGACCCTCCGTATAAATACCCAGTTACCCAACATAAAACTCCCCATTATTGCTTATAAATCTGCTTTGTGTTACAAAATGAGACATTTCAATTGCATTGTGCTAGTAGTAACAGTCATTCTTTTATGTGTCCGGCCCGGTAATAGTCGATTATTGACTGATCAAGAGAAGGGATTAAAGAAAAGAGGCATTGTTCTACAAGTACTTCAGACGCATCGACCTGTCCCTCCTTCTGGATCGTCAGGATGCAGCTACATCCCTGGAAGTGGTGGCTCTGGTTGTCCCATCGAGGAAATGCACTTTGCCGGTGGTGGTGGTAGTAGTGGTGCGCAGCCTGCAGCTGCCACCTATTCGCCGCCACCGCCGATGAATGTATTTGGTGTGGATAGTACTCATCAAAATTGAAGTCCACTTGCACACAAATTTTTTTTTTCTTTCACTTTTATTTTTCCTTATATTTTTTTAGCGTGTGGGATTTTACACTTGATTATTATCTTAAATAATATCCTTGTTAAGCTTAGATAACATGGTCGATACATTGTAATGAAAATAAAGATTCGAATATCTATATAAAGAGTAGTTAATTAGAAGATATTTACTAATATAGAATTGTTCATGTCGACTTCGTTCTTCCATCAAAGTGGGGTTGAGCAATGTGCACTGGGAGAATTGTTCTCAAATGATAATAAATAAGGTTTTTGGATGTGAAGAAAGAGATTTGGCCTTCGGCGCCATCAACCACAAGTATTGATAGCTAAATCACTTTTAGAAGCCGATACTTCATTTTTAGCATGTTCGACTAAGCTTAAAAAGGGTAAATTACTTCCAAGTAAACTTTTATCGACAAATATGTTTGGATAATTTACTTTTTCTTACTTTTAATTTTGCTAGTAACTCTTATCTTATTTTATATCAATTTTCTCATTTCTAATTTTGAACAAGAAAAGAATTATTTATTTTAAATTTTCTTGTTTATTTATTATTAAACTTTTTAAAGCTTAGCCAAACATGCCGAAGCCAAGAGATCTCCGATTCCATGCAAAGCTTCTATCACAAGAAAGAAGAGAGGAAAAGGGAGAAAAAAAAAGGCAGTATATTTCTCTTTGGAAGAATTTACAAATGATTAAGTTCATAGATAAATATAAATAGAAATGAATGGTGAAGAAGTGAATGATAAGTATAAATTTGTAAAAATGTGTGATTAAAAATGAAATTTGATTATTTATATATGACTATAAATTTTGCCAATTGGAGCCTGTTACGTATGTATAATTTAAAACAGATCGTTTTATAATCGAAGAAAGTGATGAAATACAGTACTTTATACAGGAATTCAATATTACATCAATTACATATGTTGATCAACTAGATATTTAATGGTTCTTGTCCAAAGTAACAAATAAAAAAAATTGAAAAAATGTGATTTTAAGTACGAAATTTTGGTGAATAATTTTTAAAGTGCAGGATTTTTTTCACAGGTTTTATACAACTGTCTTCTTGTACTTATAGCACGTTTCAATTTTGTTTCATCTCTTATTTTAATTCTTCAAAAAGATGAAGCTAGACTCAAGAAGTTGAATCATCCTTGGCACGATGAGCAGCAGCAGCAGCACCACCGGAAAAGTGCTTTGCGTTCAACGAGCACGTGCCGGCGCTCGAACCGGGAGGCCCGGGAATGTAAGTGCAAGGAGAACCACCAGACGGTGGCACTGGACTCCTAGGAAGAGAAGCCAATAATGGAACTAGTTCCCTAAGCCATTTCTCCATGTCCAAAGTTCTTATAGCATTTGCTTCTTGAAAAGATGGTGAAACCAAAAAAGTGCAGAAATGAGTAGTTTTAATAGAACCCATCTTTGAATGCAGAATAAGTTGGTGAATATTTATAGGAAGCTCAAAGTTTGTTTTTCACATAGAAATTATTATTTTTACTTTGACTTGACCTATATATTTTGTTATTTTTAGTTCTAAAAACCTGACCCGACCGTAGTGTAAGTTTGAAAGTATGCATTCTACGCTCAATATCAAAGGCACGAAATTTTTGAATACTTCAGTATTGATAATATAAAGGTCGAGAAACTGGCGTTTTTAACAGCCTAATTTGATATATATATATATATATATATATATATATTCCACATTTAACAAATGGTGGGTGGAATAGCAAGTTAGATAATGGTGCTGAGATAAATTACGTCGATCCATCTTTGAAGTTGAGATATAGTGGACAACTCACAAATTCAAATAGAACCTATTGCTCTGTACACGCGTTTATTTTTTTCCTCGTTGTTCTTGTTTAGGACGGAGTATAGGGCATGATTCGCTCGAATTATTGATTAAGTTTTTTTTTTTTTTTGCCACACCACTTTTACTTTTATTATTAATTACCACATATAGTTGAGTAATATTTATCTTTATTGAGAAAAGTTGATCTATTTTTTCTTAATTTTTCTTTTTTATCCTCTATATATATTGGAACTTATTAGAGTGGAATATATTACTCGAAATTGAGAAAGGGATGATTTTTAACTCTTATTTACCTTTGTGGGAAGTAAGGCTGAAGAATGAAATCAAATCGAAACAGTTGGCTTGGGTTTCTATGGATCCATCAATATTTTGGTTTTGAATCGAACCATACCACTTCAAAGTAATTCAGTTTAAATTTTATTTTTTACAAATCATTTCAAACCACCAAACTGCTTATAAAAATAAATCATGAAATAAAATAATTTAAATTTTATTGAGCTAAACATATCCCTATCAAAATAATTTGGTACATTATTTGAATGACAGTTGGGAAGATTTAATTAATGAGTCTTTCAACATATTATTTGTAGAGAATAAATTATGTGTTATAACTGGAGATATTGCGTCAATTAGAATTGGCTTAAATGTTAACGCTAAATTGTTTCCATCATTTTGTTGCATTGTAATGACTAGAACCGTAGAACTTTTGTTTATAATATTTGTAATGATTATAATATTTATGTTTTAACTTGATATTTTGGATTACTATTAATGATTTAACATGTTGGGTTTGGAAAATTTTCACAAACTATCAAAATCGAATCGTGTTCACTCCTAGAGTGTGTTTGGTAGGGATTTTTAGGGGAAAATTTGATTTTTGAATAGTGATATGATGGGAAAATGTGTGGTTGAAAAAGAAGAAAAAAGTATTGATGTGATGGAAAATATTATTTTATTGAAAAATGTGTGGTTGAAAATGAGAATTGATTTANTGGTAGAGATTTTTGGGGGAAGAATTGATTTTTGAATAGTGATATGATAGGAAATGTGTGGTTGAAAAAGAAGAAAAAAGTATTGATGTGATGGAAAATATTATTTTATTGAAAAACGTGTGGTTGAAAATGAGAATTGATTTACTGTAAAAAATGAGAATTTGTACCAAACAGGCTCCTAGTGAAAAGAAAGTATTAAACATTTTTTTCCTCTCCTTTTTTTTTTGACAGCAGTCTCTTTTTTTAATTTATTTTAATTAAAAATATAGGTAGGATCCTTGCTTTGATTATTATTTTTATTTTCATTTTATATTATTGATTTTAAGTCTTGTTTTAACATTATAAAATAAATAAATGGGAAAACACGAGGGAAATTGGGATATATTAATCCCATATAATGCCGCCTCATATCCCAAAAATTTCCGACGACAGAGGAAAATGGGAAGAGCCTGTATGTTCCATTGTTATCCCTAAATGATTAAAATGGATGGACTCGATGATCAATGACTAGCACTGCATCAAAACACACAAGTAATGGAATATTACTGCCAAAAACAAAAAATATGAACGACATTGCAACTGAAACCATAGATTGGACACAAAATATTAAGCTTCAATCTATGACACACTTGATCACTTGGCATATATGGCCACTTACATAGTGCATCAATAACTATAATACCATTTAGACATCGAACTCAGACACGCTACACATAGCACACACAACCTCCTATATATTGGGATACTAACCAATAAAAGGAATACCAGTAACAATTTGAGCGTCATCAACAAGAACCACCCCTTTCACTATGTAAATCATCAAAAATGCTTGGGGTTCTCTACTCCATCAATGACTTTAGTGAAGACATTAGGATTCTCTATTTCAATAGTTGTCATCGCTATCAATACATTAACACCTAAGAGTTCCGGCCATGGGCTCTTACCTACATAAGCAATAAAATCAAACTTGTAGAAGCATTTCACACTACATCAAGAGCATGTATTATACATTTAATCGACATGACTTTAATCAGTTAATTAAAGATAAAATAAACATGTGAGAAAATATTCTACCTCGAGTACCAAAGTACATATTATAAATGCAATATTTGCATCGAGGGTAGTAAGTAGATACCTAAGATTTCGACTGATATGCTTAGTGTAATGCTTTTTTCTTGCAATTTGATGCCTTCAAGGTTGATGTTTATTTATCTGCAAATGCAAAATGGGTATTTCAAGGCAACTTTTTAATTGCTTCTTGAACTTGTGTAATTGACAAACACATTTGATTAATGTTGGTGAAACCACGAAACAATTGTGATCTAATTATTTTATTTGCACGATTTGGTTAAGAATTAATTAATTATTGTTTACAAAGGGTTGACAAGTGAAAATTACATAATTGATTAACAATAAATAATTGATCACGATTTACTGTATAATAGTTGTCAAATCTGGAGCACGCGGTTGAGTAAGACAAATTTTGGAACGAAGCAAAGGTTCATATTTTACGTGAAATTATTAAATTAAAAAAAAAAACATAAATTTTGAGTGCGTGTTTGGCTGAAGAAATTGAATAGTATTTAAAATATTAGAATCGTGTTTTTATACAATTTAATACAATCTAAAATTATAAATAAATTTTTTTATCAATTAAATGATAATTATCAAATCGTTACCGAAATTGTTATTGACACTAAGTCACAAATCATATAAGGTCTATAAGTTGATTGTTATTGACATCAAATCGTTATTGAAATTTCAAAAACTAGTATTTCTATATAATTATAATCATCATGATGTGTAGCATAGATATGTTGAGAAATTATAACTTGTTGAAATTATAATTATGATGAGATTATAGTTTAAATCAAACAAGCACGAAGTAGACTAATTGAAAATTTTGAAATATACAAAATTATGGATAAAAAAAGGTGATGTGTACGTAGGCTACTGGATAATAATTTAGGTATCATGCCTAAACATATTTTATGGAAGGGTTTGTTACAATTTACGCAATATTGAAAAATAAATAAATAAATCATAATTGAAGTAATCATTTTAAATAAGAAATTATTTACAGCCTTAAAATTAGTAACGATATTTTATCATGCAAAACCAGTATTTAGAGCGTCTTTAATCCATTATGTAATTGTATCTAGGTTGTCT